GCAACTTTCACAATGATCCATCAATTATATTTAAGTTAGGATGCTTCCAAATTTATTATAAAAATAATATTTCTCAAACTACTGGCACTTCTGGTAAATTTTTAACCTGTTAACGAGAAAGAAATAATTTTTTAAATAGGTTGGAAATAATGATTTAAAAAATGATATAAAGTTTCAGATCTACAGTACAATGGGAAATAACAAAACGTTAAAAATGATACCCTTAAAAAAGGTACCTGCAACTTTAGTACGTACTGTACCTGTAACTTACGTACCTGCAACTTTGTTTATACAAAATTTTTTTCATTAATTCTTAATTCTTGTAGATTTTTATGATGTTATGCCGTATATATAATCTAAATTTATATTACCTCACAAGTTTTTTTCTCGTTAACAAATAAAGAAAGGTTATGTTCAATAAATTTTGTCATGTCTCAGATTTTTAAAGTTGCAGTATTACTAGACTTAATTTTTAGCGATCATATCTTATACTTAAATTTTTTTTATTTTTTTTTTAATTTGTAAATATCTTATATTTATTATTCAAAAATGCTTAAAATTACAATTAATTGTATTATCTAATACATATCGATATGCAAATTATTTTATTAGAAATATTTTATTAAAACAACAAATATTGCTATTTAGAAAATGAATTAGACGCGCTAAAAAAAAAAAATAAAAAATCTAAGCAAATTAATGTTAATTTAAGCAAATATATTTAACTAGTTTAAAACGTACTCAAAAATTTAGAGTTAAAGATCGCCGTGAATAATTCGTATGTATATATAATTGATCGTACCTTACCTTTTATATAATATCGTACTGTAATTAAATACCATATACTCGTTTTTTAAATAAATAGGATCGTATCATGCACGCAATATCGATAGTATTTATATATACGTACAGAGTTATAGATCCGGTATGATTAGTAAAAAATATTCGTACCTGCAAAAATTTTATAGTATCGTATACAAATGACGAAATCGTAACGTAACCATTTAGAGGATACCTTATAATATATACTACCGGTACGATTCAAATTTCGCGAAATACTGCAACATCGTACCGTTACCGTCGTAAAGTACCGATTTCCCATCTACTCCAATAAAAAGCCTAAAAAGATAAATAACTTACTGAAGTAACACGATTTGATAATACGTTGCATTAATTTTAAAGCAACGTATATTAATCCGAATTTCAAGTGTAAATATATATAACGCCAATCTTTTTTGATGATTTGAATTTGGTTTCTCATTATCAACGAGCAGATTCTTTTAATCACGAAATATCGCATCGTCACGAATTTTTTTTAATGAAATTTTCATTGGCACAAAAATATAAATCAACACTTTTTTTAAAAAAACTTTTTAATAAATTTTTCTATTGATTTTTACAATCAATCAATTGTATCATTCGAATTTTGTTGCATCATCCGAATTTTTCATCGAATTTATTCGAACTTTTTGTAATTTGAATTTTTAATTCGAATTTTAAAATTGACTTAATATGAATTATTCGAAGAAGAATTTGTAATATGAAGCGCAGCCCTATTAATTATCTTGTCTCTGATAAAATACTTGACCTTTACTAATCATTAACATTTTATGTAAAGCTTAATATAGAAATATACATTGCCATTCAAGCAATATTTCACTAACATTTCCATATGAATCATTATCAATGCAGTTTAGCAGTATCATGCACATTTGTGCAAAGATCGACTTGTGTAATATATGTATGTACTACATACATTCTTCTATTTAAATCGGAGTTTACATCCCGTTTATCTTTCTTTTTTGAATTATTTTTATTTCATTATGACTTTCATACGTTCAAGATACACTTGATAGAGCATTCGCAATAACTGATTTTAAAATTTACACTGACCTAGATAAGCAACTTGAATTTAGACAACAAACAATTTACGCCGACAAATCTCTCACGAAAGAGGAAAAATCAGAGGCAAGAAGATTGTTAATTCAACAATATGACTATCACAAAATACATTATAACCAAGGAATAAAAAGACTTTGTGAAAAATGCAATCAAGAATGTTTAGCAACAACATATTGCGAAAATTGTATTCGAAATAGTTTAATATCAAAATTTTCAGAATGGACATCAGGAAATAATAAAATTGATAATTTAATACAGAATTGTCAATCGACAGCGGTTCTTCCATATAGAATAGTTGAATGGATTCCATATAATAATATACAAAATATTGAATATTTAACTAAAGGTGGTTGCTCTGAAATTTATAAAGCAGTCTGGATTAATGGACCTTATAACAAATGGGATTCAGACGAACAAAAATTAATTCGATTTGAAATGGCAAATGTTATACTCAAAAGATTAGAAAATATTGAAAGTGCTAGTAGAAATTGGTTTGAAGAGGTATGTGATTTAAAAGTAATTATAAGAATTAATATTTGAATTTGTTTAAATTAATTAACTGATTATTTTAATTATGTTTTATAGGCTGAAACTCAATTAACATTAAGCAATAAATCTAGTAGATTCGTACAAAGTTGTGGTCTTACTCAGAATCCATTAAATAAAGATTATTTTCTTGTAATGGCTTCATATGATAATGATTTAAGAACATATTTACAGCAAAGTCGTAATCAACTTACATGGAAACAACGAATTCAAATACTTGTATTCATAATTGCAGCAATATGTGAACTTAATATGGAAAATTCTATTCATAGAGATTTGCATTCAGGAAATATATTATATTCTAAAATATCTGGTAATTGGCGAATTAGTGATTTTGGATTTTGTGGCCCTGTTGATAAACCATTAGGAAGTATATACGGAAATCTTCCTTATATAGCGCCCGAAGTTATTTTTTGGAAAAGGATATTCTTTTGCTTCAGATATTTATAGTATTGGTATACTAATGTGGGAGATTTCATCTCGACAACGACCATTTACTGGTTTTGATCATGATTATGACCTTGTAACGAAAATCATGAATGGGATGAGGCCGAATGTAGTACCAGGAACTCCGACAGAATATAAAAATTTAATGATACAATGTTGGGATGCTGATCCATTAAAAAGACCCGACATTCATACCATTCGGGATAAAGTTTTAGAAATGCAAATGTCATATTATCAAAATGAAAATGAAGAAACTGACATTAATATTAATAATATACAATCAAATGGAGAATCTAATATCATCTCTACTTCTATTAGTTCAATAGTTAGAAAATTTAGTAGAGTTCATATTTTTACAGATTTACCTGAACCAAGAAATGCTATTGAAAGTAAGCTAATAATTGTATTCAATGTGTTAATTAATAATTTCTAATTTTAAATTTATTAATTTAAAGTTTTTTTTTAATATTAATGATATTTATTTTGATATTTTTTTTTTAAAAAAAAATTAGCTTATGAGAGTAATGATAGTAAGCAAAATAGTCTTAATATTCCAGATGGTAAGTAGATTCATTTATATATATTTATTATTAATTTATTTATTTATTTATTTATTGAAAAGTCATACTTAAAAATTAGTCATTGTCATATATTTCTTTGCGTTACTGTAAGTCTATAAATTTAATAATTAATATTTTATGTAATTTTAAACTGAAAGATACAAATAAGGGCAAATCTAAAACGATTTATTCATATGATTCAGATGGTAATAGCTTTTTCATTTATTATTATTATTATTATTATTATTATTAGTTTATACTTATCATAATAAATTTTTAAATAGATAACGTAAAATCTAAAAAAACAAAACTAATTAATGATGAAGGTAATTATTTAAATAAATAAAACTTTTAAATTTAAGACTAAATAATACTTTAATTTAGGAATTTATGTTAATAATACAAATATTGAAATTGAAATACCATATGAACAAATAAAACATGTTGTAGATGACGGTAAAAAAAATTATTAAATTTATTTAGATATTTTTTTTGCCAATTATATACTATAATAATTTTAAATTATAGATGAAGAAATATGTAATAATCCAAATCTTCATTCAGAAGATCAAGATGAATTAGAAATTTCTGAAGGTAAATATTATGTTAAATTTAAAAATTGATTTATATGAATAATATATTTAATAAGATAACAATTTTTATTATAATTATAAACGTTAAGATTAAATTTTATAATATTTTAAGTAATAATAAATTATTTTTATTAAGAATTATTTAAACACTAAGATTAGATAAAAGTTTCTTAGTCAAATTAAATAGTTCATAGAATATAATTTATTTAAAATCATAAATACCAATTTTTACATTTGTAATAAACTTTAAACAATTTAAATATGAACTCTACAAAAAACAATTATATAACAGTAATAAAAAATTTTTAAAAAAAATAGATGAATGACATTTTGTGCATGCAGTGGATCTAAGCTTGAATCTAAAGTTTTTTCAACTTTATATTTAAAGTTTGATCCAATTAAAACTCTGTTGATTTTCAAGATTTCCACTACCTAAACGAAACGAAAAAAAATCTATGCTTGAAAAATTTTCCTTAGTACAGCATTGTTAATTGAAAAACTTAACCCTTCGTTTATTAATAATAAACGGCGTAATAGTAGTACAACGTATTGTGATTTTGCTACGTCGAATGATGTAGCAATTCTCCAATAAAAAAAATTTAGTATAGTGCTAAATACACACAAACATGTCTCTTCTATAATTATTAAATAAAATATGAAAAAAGAAAATATCGCGGCACTTACTTTTTGTGCTCCTCAATAATTCGAATACTAGAGATTAATAAAATCTAAAACTGAATGTATGACATTTTTTTTTTACCACAATTACCGTCTCAATAAGCATGCAGCTGTTTTAAGTCTAGAATGATTTTAATTAAGAAAAAAATTTTTTTTTTTTATAAAATAATTATAAAACGAAAGCTTTAAGCGAAATTCCGTGTTGCGGTTATTATAGAAACACAAAAATCCTTGAATCTTTTTTTTTAACGTTTCAACTGCCTGAAAAATATAAATGCACCCTTCACAAGGAAATGATTCAAAGTATTCTTTAGGACAGAATGTATTGCACACCGTAGGTGAAATAACTGATTCAGAAATATTTAAAAAAATGTAAAAAAGAATTTTATTCTTTTTGTTATTATTTCAAAAAATTATGTAATAAATTCTTTCATTCTTTGTTACCAAAAGCGATCAAAAAGTGGCACAGTAAAAAGGCGGAAATTAAATACGATAAGTAATGAAGAAACCTTATGACATACTTGTTAAATCTCATTAATTACTTGTAAACCTTGATAAAAAGTCAATAGCCTCGTCATTCAAAATAATTTGACAAATATTTATAAACTTTTCACATATTATAAGTAAAGGTTAAATTTTAACATGACCAATAGTAATTCTGATAAATGAAGGGTTCGGATGTTATTTTACAAAATTCATAAAATAAATGATTTGCTATTTAGCTTCATAAGGGAATAACTAAATTACGTTCAAGGTGATCACCAATTGTTACGTCCACAGCAGTTGTTGACCATCACTCGTGAATTCTCCTTTCATTTTACTACTATTTCATGTCAACATCCAAAACTTTTATATTAAATTACTGAATTCAATTAATATATTGTTCATGTTCAAATTATATGAAAGTTATAGATCGGTCCTGGTAAGACCGGTCTTAGACTGGTTAATGGGATCGGTCCTTGCGGTCTTCGGTCCATATTCTGAGGACCGGACCGGACCGGACCGATTTAACCCTAGTGTTAACTCGATTTTTGAAATTAACCAAACAACGATTTAAATCTAACTCAGGCCCGTCATAAAAAAGATTTATTTCACTTTTTCTTAATACGATTCTTTATGTTGTTGGTTATTAGTCAAGTCTATATGGAGACACGATAGAGGTTGAAAGTGTAAAGGTAGATATTTATTATTTCAAGATTTCGGAAGTCTTTTTCTCACGACTCGTCAACCTAATTCTTTGATCAAAGCGGATTTCTCGGGAATATATACAAAATTTCTAAATACTAACTTTCTATTTAAAATAAATATAACAATTAAATAACCAACCATTATAATAAATTTAAGAAATATAAAAACGAAAACGATTATAATAATTTTAACATACTATAACAAATATAATTGATATAATTATATAAACATTTTCATTATTTTTTCCGCAGTTACTGCGTCATTTGTAAGTGCCGATTTCTTGTAACACCGGAATTTCAGTAAATACAAAAAAAAAAAAAAAAAAAAATCGATGTATTAAAAAAGTCAATGTGGAATTGTATAAGGAATTTGTGCGACTCGTAAGAATAATACAAATAAAAATTGTCATTCTTTTGGTCGGGTGATCAAAACAAAAATATATAATTCCAATACTTTGGGAAGATCCTTTTTCCGTTATACGTCGAAGTAGTGTTTTGATCATTTATTTATTATTTCTTAATGATGAGGATGATGCAACTTTAACGAGATTAGGGTGTGGAACTTTTCATCCATCATTTACAAAACCTTTATTTAATTACCCAGGTTTTATTAAATCTTTAAATCAATTTCAAGTACAACAGCATGTCAGGAAATATTTAGAAAATTTAATAAGCCCATTCTATGATTTTAATAATACAGAGCTATTGGTTCTCTTTAACACAATTTGTGAATTGATATTTAAATTGGTTATAAGTAATGACGTTTCTTTAAACAGTTTATATTTAAACATTTGTTATGATCCTAATCTTAGGATTTCCAATGAAATATGTAAGAAACCAAAATTCCTTTCAGACATCAAATATTTTACACTAGATTTTAATCATGACGACGAGATTCCTCATTTGCCGAAACCTTCTTTCCAAAACTTTTTTGAGTACTTACCAACAGCGATAACTTCAAACAAGCATTTTACAATTTATTTTAGTTTGGAAGAGAATATATCTAAGAGGAATCTAGAATATTTGATTCAATCACAAACGCAACTTTTATCCCTTACACTTCATTCTATAACAACAAAAGTAACTTACATATTGAACGCTTTGAAGTATTGTTCTAATACTTTAACTTCAATTAAGTTTAACAATTGTGATTTTACAAACATGTCATCATTGAATGGACTTAACTCCCTTGCACACCTTGAATCACTTCATTTCAAATATTGCGAGGGGATAACAGTTCAGGTTTTTCGTCCCTTACTTGACATTCCTACTCCACTTAAAATTAAAACTTTAAAAATAGTTAGTCAAATAGAGGAAATTACTCTTATTCAATTATTATTTCAAAAAATTGGTTCTTTCCTGGAAAATTTAGAAATAAATCTTTGGAAAGATACTGAAAGAAACAACGTATATGAAAGTATTATCAATTATTGTGAAAAAATTCAATTTCTCCATTTATTAGAGATTGATCATGTGGACATTCCTCAGTTGATTAAATTAATAATTCACGTTCGCAAACATCTCAAATACCTTTCCCTTCAAGTCAAGAATAATAGACGTTCATGTATTAGTTATAGGATCTCGAAAATTTACGTTAATGAACCATTAAGAGTTAGTTCCATGATCTTGGAAAATTTGGGTCAAATCTTACCAGATACTTTGAAATATTTAGAATTAAGACTTGAAATTGATCCAATCAACTTGAAAATCTTTTTGAATAATTGCAAACATATTGTTGGATTAAGCAGGTTACTGGTTATGAATAAAAACCTTAATGATAATAAGGATGCTTTTAAAGTCTTGAAAGAATTTGTAAGGGAGAAAAAGGTGATGAATTTTGCATATCTTGTTAATCATAATCTTTTTATTCGTGAAGATGAGTATAAAATATATTCTTCTCAAAAGCTTTATAGTGATTTGATTATGAGAGTTTCGTATTTTGAAAATGTTTAAAATATTTTTATATTAATTTGTTTTTTCTTAATAATTTACCATTACATAATGAAGGAGTTAGTAGATTGGATCAATTTGAAAAGAGGGGTTTTTTAGTTAGATTTCAATTTCATGTCTAATTTTATGTTAAATGGTAACTTATCTTAGCCAAAATTTTTTATTTATTCAATTAAAATACTTTGAAATATATTTTTTTCTGTTGTATAAAATTTTTATTATATCTTATTAAATACTCCAATTATTTTCATTACAATTCATCATATTGCTTCAATTCAATATTAACTAAATGTTTAAAGTTTTAAATAATTTAAAAATTGATATTTATGATTTTACAAAAAAAAATAAAATTAGGCATGAAATAAAAAAATTTTTTTAATTAAATTATATCTAATCAGAAAATTTTGATTTTGTTACCAAAATCAACATCAACATTTTTTATACTTTTTATAATAAAAAAAAAAAGAAATATTATTATTATCTTATTTAAAGAACGTGATAATAAAAATCTTCAAAAAAAAAGCCATAATGAATAAAACAAATAGATTGATGCCAAGACAAAAAAGAAAAAAAAGAAAGAAATTAAACTTTGACAAATGAAATTTAAAAAAGTATTCCATCGCTTTATTTTGTAATATCTATAAACTATAGATAATATGACAAATTATATGATAATACTTTACAATATTTTAATAAATAATTCACCTAATTTGTTTATGAAGAATTTGGTCAGCTCTCAAAAGGTAAAAGTTTCCTTTAATTATTGAATTATATAAACATATATTTACTTATTAAAATTATTAGTTTTGAAATCCTATTACTGGAATATACTAATCACATTATTCACACCTTAATCTTCTTGTCAATAAAACCCTGATTGGGTAATAGGAATTTATCGAAATGTCAATATGTATAATAGATTTCAATAAAAATTATTTTAATAAAAAACAAATTTATTTAAAAAAATTTATTAAAAGAAATTTTGATAATTAAAAAGAACAAATTTAAATGAGAAAAAAAAAGTGTTTGATAAGAAAAAGTATAATTTAATAAATCAGCCCAGCCAACGTGACAAGTGTAAGAAATCCAGCCAATGAGAAATAAAACCCATATGTGTGTGGAAATTACAGAATCTCACATCATTAATTGAGAAATATGTCATATTGCCAAGAAAATAAATCCATCGACTAAAAAAACTTTGAATATAGGTTTATTGTTATTGTCATAATTTAACAATAAGGATTAGAAAAAGAACTTTTTTTAAAAGAACAGCATCGTTTAGTCTCTACTTCAACCAAATTAACAGAATTTTTTAAGCTCAAATTTACTTAACATTATTTTATTTTATTTTATTTTATTTAAACAAAAGCTTTTAATATCTAAAATGCATTTTATTTTCCTGAAAACGAAATAAGAAGAAATTGTAAAAAGGTTGAATACATCTTCAAATTCAAATACATCAAGAAAAAGAAGGTAGGCAGTTAAAAGTCCATTTCAAAATAAGATGAGAAAAGTGCTATAATATCTTATAATATCTTTTCATATATCAAAGTAAGATAGATATTCTTTAAATAGTGCTGGTTTTGATATAAAAAAATATGATGCAGAGTAAGGCCAGGCAAAGAAAATTTTTTTTTAGATTCTCATGACATAAAATTTTAAAATTGATATTGCTATATGATATATGCGGCAGTGATTCTTTTGAAGCTTTAGCAAACCCAAGCACAGAAATGGAAGATGTTAATGATGGAATAGCAAAAGTGATGATGCAGGAAAAATTTTTGAAAATGTAAAAGTCGATGAAAAATTAACATGTAGCAACCCTATGGAAATTTCTTATTATTCAAGTGGTCTATTTGAAGATGTTTTGCTCAAAGTTAGCATGAATGAAGTATATTACTATTATTGCAATGAATGTCATACAACAGTTTTAAATAAGAAGAAGCGTGGTAAGGGTGTTAAATTCAAAGTAACAAAAAGGTCACGAAAAAGATATGTAACAAATTCACATTTTTACGAATTTATTATAAATAAAGTTTATTATGTAAGGTCACGTGATAAAATTTTACTATAAAAAAAATATTCCTGAAAACTGATACGGCCGGGTCACGAGAATCTAAAAATTTACTTTGCCCGGCCTAATTTATATTATAAATCGGCATGATATCACTGAATATTACCCAATAAAGAAAAATTGGAGTCGTAAATTAATTTACTTTTCAATTACACTCGTAATTTTTATAACGATATACCGTAATTTCTATAAATATCAAAAGAAAAAAGTAGTAATTGGAATAGAAAATTAATTTACTGGTTTTATCTTCTTTCATAATTAAAACAATAATTGTTATAATTGAAATAATTATTTTTTTATCGCACAAGAAATCCAAACCGAATTTAACAGGAAACGATAGACTTTTCTTTCCGAAAAAAAAAATTACCTTTTCTTTGGCAGTGAATATGACGGAAGATAATTCTGAAATATTCCAAATGCACAGGATTTTAAAGGAATCTTTCGGAAAACTCTTCTGATTATATCTAAAAATTTCTAACATAAAGGTGTAAATTAACAGAATTTAGATATATATAAACATGTGAATTAACAAAGAAATTCTTTTTATACATGGATTAAATAAAACTATTATTTATTCATTTCTAATCAAAATGTAAAATATATAATAAAAACCAAGTTGGATAATATGATGAGGAGTAGAAAAAAGTTACAAAAGATATTAAAAATTTTTCTCAATACAGTAGATTGCGTAATAAAGTAAATGTAATGAGCTTTCTTAATTTTTCCACCCTCTTTTACATCTGGATGCCAGTCTAGTGAATCAAATCGGTTTATAAAATGTGGGTATTTTGCTGATCCTTCCTCTCCGGCCCAGTCGAAGTCAACTATCATAACCTGCTTTCTATCTTTTGAAATCATAAAATTTGATGTCCGAAAGTCACCATGAACATAATTCATCTTGTGCAATTCATTGGCAACTTCAATAGATTTTTGAGTGAGAAATGATATATTCTGATCACCTTCCTGAAGAATATCATACATACATGTGAAATGCTCACTCAAAAGATATTCCATCACTACCATAAACCAGTTGCCTGCCAGTTTTTCAAATGCTATGAGTTTTGGTGCAATATTGACTTTAGCACAGTCCCTGTGAACATCAGCGCCATATCTCCTGATAAATTTCACAACAAACAGCTGTTGATTGGTCAATTCTTGCACAATGAAAAGCAGTTTGTCATCAACCAGTTTTTCTTTGTACTCAAACTGAAACTCGTAGCCATTCTCATTATTAAAAGAATTTGGGTATGGGTATGCTTCTCGTCTTGGTAAATCAGCATTAATTTCAGTTGGTAAACATAACTTGTTATAATAATCCTTCAGACTTTCCAGGCTTTCTTTCAGCAGTCAAAATGTATTTGCAGCTGTGGATAGCAATTCATCATCAAATCTTAACTGCATCAAGGGAATTAGAGGTGTGAGTGGTTCTACCACACATTTATCACCAAAGATAGCCCCAGCAATCCCTAGATACGGTCCTGCCAGGTAAATCAAGAATGTCGGATGGAGACCATAACAGTCTGGAGGCCTTTTCTGACTAATAAATCTAGCGTATGATGCACAAACCTGCCTGTAAGGACATCCACTGCCATCTCTGAGTTCATTCTTTATTTTCCCTAATAATAGCAGATATTTAACATGATTTGACGTTAAATGGTATATGCAAATCGGCCTCACTACTATGTCCTCCAAGTGGTAATGCATCAACAGGACAATTAAAATATTTTGAAGCCCATGATGTGAATTTTGCGAGCCGTTCTTCTTCAACATTATAAAACTCTTGCATGTCTAATACAAGTTTTCCAAGTGATTCAAAGTCATCCGCCTCAGCTTTCAGACTGGAAAGATTGTCTTTAAAAGTTGTAACACAGAATGGTATAATGACAACGGAATGTTAGGGCTTTCTGTGCGATAATTAAGGATTATGCCACTGAGTTCTGGGTCATTTTTTTTAGACCTGCCGTAACTGGATGGTGTAATTTTCCTTAGTTTCTTCACCATGTCATCCATGTTACGATATGTGGGAACATTTTGCTTTCGTTTCAAGGTCACGTCCATAGAGTCTGGTATCAGAGTAGCTATTATTGAAAAAATGCAGATTGATAAGATAGAAAGGAATCACAAACAATTCTTTAGCTAATTTCCGTTAAAAAAAGGTACTGGAATAACAAGTGAACATTGGATAAAGTCAAGTGAATCAGTAATAATAAATAACAAAAGAAAAAAACACAGGTCAGAAACGATATACAAATACTCTCTCTCAAACAAATGAATAAATAAATAAATGAGACGTAGTATTCATAAATGCGCACACTAATCTGAGATAGAATGAACGAAAAATAATTTTTTGTTTACGCAATTTGTACCTTCTCCTTTAGCTAAATCTGTAAATTTATCCTGTAAATATTTATATAACTCCCACTTATCGTCTCTATTCTTCGTCAATGCCTCTTTGTCTTTCTTTAAAGCTTTTATTAGCTCATCCAAATCACTTTTATCCTCTTCCAAATTATTCTTTTCATTCTCATTTTTTTCTCTTCTTGCTAGACTATTCAACCTCCTCCCTTCATTCATCAACTCCTGTAACCTAT